CTAGACTTTCATCATTCATACAACTTTTCTTGTCGTCCAACACCATAGTACCTGTACTAAAACAAGACTCCGATGGAACTGTAGACAACGGAGGGGTTAGTAGATCACGTGCCATGATGGTGAGAACTAAATAAATTTTTGCATGTTCACTCCACTAGGCTAAAATATTAAAATTATTTATTCCCTCTGAGGTGAAGGAAGAATCACCTAAAGTAGAAAAATTTGCTTGTAAAAGTTCAGTAAATGAACTTGTTGTCGAGGCAGTGGATTTCTACATCTTATTTATTAAAAAAAAAGTTTTTTCTCTTCCACTTCTGGACTCAAGTTTAGAAGTGGAAGATGCAACTATACAAGTTATAGAATTTTTATTATTCCCCATTACTTCAAATTCATATAAACTATATATTCCAAATAATAAACTATTAATTTCTTCTCTATTTCTAATTTCAATATTCATATTTTCACAATATGTTTCAAGTAAAATATCTAAACCATCTTTCCTAATCGTATGATCTAATATTGTACCTAAGGAAAAAAAGAGGAGAAATGTTCTCCCAATATCTTTTTAAATTTATTTTCCATTATTTCAATAATACTTTTAAATTGTAGATTCTTTTTATATTTTTCAAAACAATCACTAATCATCATTAATTGATAAGCTCAGTTACAACTAGTCGGATAATAAATACCCGATAATTCATTAGTTGCATCATAAAAATGTTTTAAAAAATCTCTTATACAAATTGTCATTTCTCATTCTTCTTCAAATATAATATCAGTAGGCATTTTTGCATTATAAAAATCACTAAGAAGTTGTATGTGAGAAATACAACTTTCTAACATAGCATAGGTAGAATTCCATCTATGTTTAACATCTAATATACAATGTTTATATTTTAAACCATAATTTTGACATAAATATTTAAATTCTTGTTTTCTTGCTCCATAACTTTTAATATATATAATACAATTTCTCGTTTTAGAAATATGAGTAGAAATAATATTTAAAGTATCCTGAATACATAAATTTAAGATGTGACATGCACATCTTATATGAAATAATTTACCATTTAAACATGATTTTAATTAAGATTTTAAAATATTTATTGTTGAATCATTATTACTAGCATTACCAAAACTAATAAAAAATAATTTATTGTTAATTCCATAAGCATGTAAAGTATTTAAAATACTTACAGCAATAGCTGGGCCAATATGTGGCAATTCAAGCCTAATAAAACTTAAAATTATTTTATTTAAAAGATAATTTTCATCAATAAAATGACTGATAACACAAATATAACTTATGTTAAATTTAAAAGTCCAAATATCAGAAGTAATTGCAACTTTAGAATTAAGATTTGATAACATATAAATTAAATTTTGTTTATATGAATAAAAAATTTTTAAAGCATCTAACCCAATAGTATTACTAGAAACTTTTTTAAATTGTGGATTTATAGAATTACGTAACCATTTTTCAAGTTCAGTATCTTCAGCTAACAAAAATGGTTGTTCAGCATGTACAATGCATTTTGTTAATTGTTGCCTCATTTTCTCTTGAGAATATTTAAAAGTACCAACCCCCCCCCCCCTGCCCAATTTGTGTTTGTGTTGTTTCTCTCCATTCTTCTTCTGCTTTTTCTTCTTCTTCTTCTTCTTCTTCTTCTTCTTCTTCTTCTTCTTTCTCATGGATGAGCAAACGTCTACTCAAATGGCCAGTACCACCCTTGCTACAATAGCTAAAGTTTTTCCTACATTTTTGGCAAACAGTCCTTTTTCCCTTCCCCTGAACCTCCTCTATTTTAAATATTTTCCAAATCGGGTTTATCAACTTAGTGGCCTTCTTTTTCTTTTCCCTAGTATTAGTACTAGGGGTGGAAGGGGTATTTTGGTCTTTATAAAGTTATTTATCACTTTACCCAAAATGCCTCCACAAATTAGCTGCTATATAACTATTGGGGGCATTTCTGTCATTCTTTCTCCCACTCCCCAAAACCAAAATACATAAATACACCCCTATATAGTTGTTTATAGCTGTTGGGGGGTATTTCTATATATATATATAAAAAAAAAAAAAAAAAAAACTATATAGCTGAAAGTTCAGGATGATCTTAGCCCCTCTGAACTTTCCTTTGTGACAAAGTGTCACTATCCCAATGTATTGGATGGCAGTTTATTATTTACCCTAAAATTTTTACCTCTTTATCTGAGTGGAAGATTAGCCATGATTATAAAAGAAAAACTCTCATTTGGAAGTTTTCCTTAATATACTAGTAGGAATGATGCCTGGAGATGTATAGAGGAAGAAAACCAAAATACCGTGAGGTATAATTGAGAAATTGAAAAAGGTTTAGTGAAGCTTTACAAGAAAGAAAGTAAAATCATAAATCTGGTAACATGAAAAAAAAAAAACAGATAGTGACATTCTATTTAAAAGAAAAAAGGAGAAAAAAGATTAATCTTGAAACTAAAAAGTTTAAAGATAAAGGTTACATTTGTATACATATCTGTATGTTGAGAGATAGGAATTGGAAGATGAAGAGACCAGAAAAGTGAAATCCTAAGAAAATGTGAGAACAGAGGTAAGTCGGGATTATGGACGGATTTCATAGGAAAAGGTAACCAACAAATGATATTTTGGATATCTAGGGATGAAACTTTGGTGGGCTTTGCGTTGAAATTTTGTTAAAAACTGAATGGGCCTGGCCCAGAATCTCGGGCCTGATGTAGTTCAAATTTCTACAAATCGTGTACCCAACTTGAACCCATATACCTGAGTAGTCAGATCAGTCGGTGAGAGGTTGATGGGAACAAAGTAGGGTGCAATTAAGGCGTATTGGCCAAGTGGTAATGAGTGCTTCTTTTTTCGGTAAGAATTAGTAATAAGGGCCTATAATTTGACAAAAGAATGATTATAGAGCACAAGATGTAAGAAATGTATCCCTAGGGTTTTCTATAGGTTTAAATGTTAGAAACTCTCGGTCCAAACATATTAACATTAGACTGAGGTATTAGACTGAGTTATTTTAATGTCACACTAATAACTTTTAAGGTAGGTGGTAACAGGTAAAAAGATTATACCAGTAACGTTAAATATAAATTTAGGTGATTGTAAATAACTTGTAAAGGCCGCTTTGGGAGGGCTGAGAAGAAGAGCTAAGCTGTTGGGATGCTTTGAATTTGGACTCTGCAATTTTTCACCGAAAGTATCTTATWATCTGTCCATTTGGGACCCACCTCGAAAAGCAATAAGCAACTGCACTCCCAAATACACTATTAAGTGGGTGTTTGCCATCGATGCCGTTTTCTGAGAAAATGGCGCTACATCAGAGAAAACAGTGCTTCAAACAACGCCCTCTTGTTTAGCACCGTTTTTCTAGAAAAAAACATTGCTCCAAATCATGTATGAGAAATCGGGAAGGTGTGGTCTAGAGCAATACTAAATTCAATGTTTTCTGAGAAAATGGTGTGTTGCTGCTAGCGGTGCAATGATGTGGCATCATTTTGGACATTGGATAATGTAGATCAATGTTGAAAACATTGTTAGAAGCTTTGGTACCAAGCAAAATCAGTGTTGTTTTCTCAGAAAACGCCTATATGGCAGCACCGGTTCCAAACAAAAAATAAGCACCGTTTTCTCAAAAAACTATGCTTACAACTCCACATGCCCAGCACCATTTTTATGAGAAAACGGTACAATGTTCCTAGCACCAATGCCAAACACCTACTTAAGAAATAGATTATTTAATGGAAGTATTTAGAAACCCTAAGGCTGATTCGGATCCTACTTCCAACACAAGCAATGGTTACGTTACCTCTCAATTTATCAACAATGACTGCAGACTTGTGCCAATCAGCATATCTAATCAGGTGCAGGCAGGATCTGATTCCAAGTTTCCACTACCATCAGCAGAGATCTTACCAACCAGTTGGTTGGCACCTTGCAATTATGACGACATTTTCAAAATCACTTACAAGCACTTTACCAAGTACACCATGGAGGGTCTAGGTCATCTGTAGAAATAAGTTGAATTAATCAGGACCCATGTGATGCACGGGTTTTATTTATAAGCAAAATTGAAGGCGGAGTTTATCCAATCACATTTCCAATTAAATGGTGTTCATCTAAGTTGTGCTTTAGTGAGAGTGGTCAATTCCCTATTCTGTAGATAAATTTGTTTTATTATTTTTGTATATTAATTTTAATTTTTATTATTTTTTTGAAAAAGAATTTTTTATTACTTTTTATTGGTTAGTTATTATTTTTGTTTTATTTTTAGGCAAAATTATAGAAAACATCTTGTTATAACAATTCTATAACCCTAGCAAAGGCCTTTCCTATAGTTTTGATAAAAAAATGCAAATACCTCCTTATTCCTTGGCTTTTCAATGATAAAGACATTGAAGTTACCAAAATACCCTTATCATACATGATTTAAGGAAGGTATGTGCACCTTTTTTCAAAATAATAGTGGAGGTTTTTGTTAAGGTCAAAACATTGGGGAGTTTCATAGGATTGTCAGAAAATCCAAGTAGGTTTTTATAATTTTTTTTTTATTATTTTTAAATGAAATTTAAATTGATTTTAAAATAATTAAACTATACAAATTTTTATTTTTCAATGAAACTTAAGTTGGTATAAAATTGATAATTTTTTATTAGTTTTTAATTTATTTTATTCCTTTTATTAATAAATTCTTTGTTATATTAATATAAACATTTTTATCAATAACAATAATTAATATTATTTTTATTTTGTTTAAGTGACTTTAAGAATAAACCACATGGCAAGAAAGTGAGAGCTTGACACATTAGCATCACTCTCCAGACAAATAGTAATCATTATAGTCTTCATAGTGGGAACTGGGCTGTTCATGCTCTATCTACAGTGATGAAGCGTCTTGACACGCCAAACTTAAGACGAGTGGAAGGTGCAACCGTAATGTGGGAAAAGAGTACGCCATGTAGTATCTTGCAAACATAAAAAAATTACAAACTGAATAAAATTGCTCTGCAACCATATTTTAGTCAAACTCTGAAGTCTAAATCTGAAATGTGGTGCATATAGAAAGACTATTAACACTCCAGACACCATTATTAGACATTACAAATGCTCAAAAAGACGACCATAAAAGAAGCCAAGGAAAGGAGAAATAAATAGGGACTTTTGACAATCAAAATAAATTGCGATCCTTTGCAAGATTGATGAAAGCAAACAGAGAATTAAGTTCTTTGACCGTTCTAGTTTAAAAACGGGATGAAATACAACACGAAAATGTTGCTACTCGTTGTCTCAGGCAGATTGGAGTTTGGACCTTTGGTCAAATGTAAAGCTTGATGTCCAAGTTCAGCAGGGAAGATSCAAACATCCCAGAAACATAATAAAGACAAACTCCAGATCCCCCGAACCTCTCACTTTGGCATAAGCTTAAGAATGAAAACAAGATGGCAAGTGGCTTCACATGAGAAGCTTACGAGATTCCTGTCTAAAAAGAGCCATTCTCACCTTTTATGACAATTAAGGAAAAGAATGGCATAGCTGCACATAGTAGTACATTTCCCTTCTCCGCAAAAAGCAGCTTCCTTCGTCCAGACAAGTACCAGGAAGACCTTAATCCCCAAATTAAGTACTTGAACCAAGACCACAATCATGTTGTGTACTCGAAAGGTTGAGGAGGTTGAGGTTCCTCATCAACAGCCATTGCTGATGCTGACCCCTGCTGGCCTGTCGCTGGTCCTCCTGCAGCTGGTGATGCCATAGATGAAGGTGTGTCGGTGAGAGAGAGTACCTCTGGTTCAGTTGGCCTTTGGTCCTTTAAAAGAACGAATCCTGAAGGGGCCAACTTCACAGGAACATATCTGCTTTCCTCCAGGAACCTGATGAACTTCTCCTGACCAGGAACCACTCTGGCTGGGTTTGTCAAAATTTCAAAAGCTGGCTCAGACTCTGCTTTCTTTTCTGATGTGCTATCAACCTGGGATAAAAAAGCATAATGTCAACTTTGCAATTGATTTGAGTATTCAACCATGGACTTCACATTGCATGCGACTTTCCTCCTCTCTGATCATGGCTTTCAGATGGAAGTCTCTGCATATTCTAAAACCACAAGACTTTTTGGTGTTCATCTGCAGAATCACTATTGCTCAAAAGGGGACTGTAGAAATTATTGAAATTGAGCAACAGTTATTTCTGTCTATTATCAGATTCTGTAAAAGTTGTGTTCAGTTTCTGTAGACATTATTGAAATTGAGAAAGTTGTGGGAAAGTCCTTGAGGCATTTTATGAAATCCCTCGAGAATTTTCCCATAATTCCCTCAGAAACCAAATGCAGTGTTGTATGTCTTTTTAGGACTTGCCTAGCACGAGTCACCGTAACAGTATTTTTCAGTCTTAGCATCAATAGAGGCTATCATAAAAAGAAGTAACTATTTTAAACACACTGCTGCTCCATGTATTTCAATTGGGCCATCTATGACAGTTATCATTACATCAGATCTTTCGATCTTTTTAGCATTTGTGCAAGATACAAAGACCAAAAATTAAGTGCATATATGGGTAGGTGTACAACTTGGGCATGCTTGGGTTGAACATTTGTTAAAATTTCAATGGGTCTTGGCCCAATGCTATCTTCAAATCAGGTACTGACCTGAACTCCTATATATGGGTGCAGGTATGTTCCAATTTGCCAACAATATAGATTGTCTGGTTGCCAATGGACATTATCAAGTCCTCATTACTAGAGGCAGATGCATAATAGGAAAACCAAGCAACAGCAATGAGTGACTAATTTACCTGCATAGAGTCCCCATCCTTCTCACTAGATGATTTGCCTTTTCCCAAATTCGTACTAACTGGGGCAGATTCTTCCCCTGATAACTTTTCAGCATTAGCCTTCTGATCTGCCTCTTTCTTAGCCCTAGCTTTGGCTTTTGCAGATGTTGACAGAACTGCTGTGGGAAGTTTTACGGATGAAGTTGTGGTGGGCACAGTAGTTGGTCGAGGATACTCAAACAGGGAAGGTTTTGCATGTGACAAGAACTCAAACCTTGGAACTTTCAGATCATAATTAAGTCCAATAAATGCCGTGGGGGAGAATGAAAGGCTGATGAAATAGATAAGGGGATACCAATACCAAAACTGACTAAAGACAGCAAGTCCAACAACAGCAGTGATTTTATCATGCTTTGTTTTAGAAAGCAGCCTGATGGTTACATTTCTTCCACCAGCATCAAGAATTCCAGAAGCCAGGATCGCTCCCATCTTGCTCATTGTGTCTTCATGCTTATCCAGAATTATTTTCTCTAGTTGGCGCCTAGAAGAAATGATGACAAATATGAAAGGGACAACATATGCAAATTACAGAAAAATTATGCATTTGCTTATACACGAGAATCACTAATGACCATACCTGAATGTTCCTATGCGAGAATCACTAGCTTCACTAATCTGGACCATGACCATAGCCATAGCGATGAGGGCCCCCTGACGAACAAAATCCACAACATCTGATGTAAGCGGCTCTAGCAAAGATATGGCCTCACTCAGACCAGTACCCGCACAGGAAATTCCTACTGCCAATGCCGCACCATATCGAACGTGTGGATTGTAAGACTCAGAAAGCAGTGAAACAATTCGAGGAGTCTGCAAATTCAAGAGCATGGTGAAATCTAAAATAAGTTGATATTCTGTTGATCTGGTTATCATGTAAAGTTGTTCTACATGTAATCCATGTGAAGTTAATAGCAACCTTCACTAAAAAATACAGCAGAGACAAATAAATGAATGCCCAAACAGGGCATATGAAGGTCAGTTGTCATATTTAAGAATTAAGATCTCCAGTTCATAATAGTAACTCATACCATTAAACAATGTCAATACAGTATTATTCCAGATAAAATGAGTTCATCAAAATGTTCATTATTTGCATGCCAAGAATAAGTTGAACCAGAATTGAGATTTCAGAAGAATAAAAAGCTTCCGGTCGAGCTCGGAGTACAGATACTATGAAGGCTAATTAGAGAGAAAGGGGGAGAGAGAGAGAGAGAGAGATCAATTTTCCAAATGGTAATCAAAAAATAGGGACAGAGATAAACTGTGAAGGGTTATGGAACACCAACCTGTTCTGGTTCAGAGTAAAGAACAAAACCAAGGGCCAGAACAGCAGTCCTCCTTACATCATCACTAACATCCGATACAGCAAAATGCAGTAGCTGGCGGATGGCCTTGTTATTAGCTGTTCCCCTATAAGCCAGTGCCAAAGCATACATTCCACCATAACGCAGTATGGGATCTTGATCACGAATCATTTGCTCAATCAGTGTGTCTGCTTCTTCCTCCCTTCCATACACTGTAAGAGCAATTCCCAGTGCCAGCCCCCTGCAAAATATTTGAATATCATGATAATCTAGTCAAAAATATTAATCACTGGAAGTCTCAACTGAAGATCCCAAGACAGCACCTAATAATCTTCTCATGCTGCGTCTCATGTGCATATGTAAGCATCTCACTTGCTTTCTCACTTGCAGTTCCAACCATGAGTAAACCCATACTTATGCCTGCAGCTTCACCAGCCACAGCACTGTCATTATAAAGAACAGTCTTGACATCATCATAGATATCTTCATCTGCTGTTCCTAGAGCTGCCAAACCAAGACCTAAGCATGCACCATGTTGGATCACCTGCACATCAGGAAACATTCAATATAAGAATGATAGTGATCTACAAGACCTGACCAAGAAAGGATAATGAATGTTTCCAAAACTATCACCTCCACATTGGTATTGCGCAGGCTATCACRAAGGAATTGTTTAATGCCCTCACCATGGTTGGCATGGATCAGACCTAGAGCATAAAGTGCACCACCTTCTGAGTATGGACTACCACCGCCACCACCACTACCAACCCCACCCTGAGGCAAGTAAGGTGCCATAAGTGATCTCCCTTGCTGCAGGTGGCCTCTATGAATGACACCAAGCCCAGCAGTAGCACTAAATTTCGCCCAGTTTGTGGCTCTACTCAGCCAGTCCTGCCAAGCCACAAAATTTGAGACAGTATGTCGTAAATAATTTATCTCAACTTTCATGGTTAGGGGAGCAAGATAGCAAAGGATTAATCAAGTGGAGAAGAGAAAGAAATCCAAATTACCAGATTCTCTCTGAGAAACGTGTCCACAGTAGTTCCAGCATGCATAATTGCATTAGCATAGATCGTAGCACTGTGGCAAACACTATTTCTCATCTCGACCGATTGCTTTATAGTCTTCAGTATCAAAAGATCTGACCTATATTCAAAATCATAACAGCCTAAGTATTAGGTATATTCTCAAAACATTCAAGAGAATCTTCTAGAAATCATTCTTCAGACATCAAGGTTACAGGAAAAGAAATACGGGTTCAGGTGCCTCACTTATTATGGCTGTATAAGAACTGTAGCGACAACTGTATTGATGTCTCCCCAGACAAAATACCCTTGATTTTTGCTAGCCTCTTGGCATATCTCTCTTCATTTGGATCCATTTCATGTGCATTCCCATTGGGACCATGAGTTTCATCTGCCATGTGGACATCCTCTGATGGGGTAGTAATATTTTCATTGCCAGTAACAGGATTTCCATTTTGACCAGAATCTGTTACACTGGATTCATGTTGCACTGCTTCTGAAGGTCGAGATTTTGGAACAGAGAGGCGACCTCTCACATTTAAGAGAAATGCTTGGTGCTCATTCTCTACAAGATCAAATGCAATCTGAAAGGCCAGCAAAGCTTCATCCTGCAAATCATATTTTAGTGCATTGTCATTTTAATAGCCAAGTACCGAAAATTAAAGCAATAACACCAGGAAATAAAGTGCGAGTACATTATTTCCAGATCGCAGAAGYTTCTCCAATATGCTTGCAACACCTTCACGTTCATCCAAGAACATGAGGCACTGGCAAATGCTCAAGTAATCTGGAGAAGGCAACTTTTGATATATCTTTATAAGTAGACGAAGAACCTGTATAAAACAATTGTTAAAGAATTAGAAATATCTGATGCTGAAATTCATCAAAAGATCCACTTAAAGGTTTAAGGATTCTTGATCAACATTGTAGTTTGTTTTGGGGACATCAAATGCACTCAAGAAAGGCAGACAGAAAACAGTCACCATAGGACCATAGCAATTCTGAACATAAAACATATAGTTCAAGCTTTATATATGCTATAGCTAGAACAATACATCAAAGTACTTACTACAACTAGAAATTAGTCCATACTCTAGCTACTCCAATAGATGAGATGCGCATAAACAAACTTTAAGTAATCATCCTTGTTTATACACATTCAGCAGGACAAAGTAAAAAGGGAAAATCTCAAAAGGGTATTCATGACTTTAGCTTTTCAGTTACTATTAAGTAAAAGATAAAGGAAGATCAGCTTCTCATGAGATAATATAGTGGTTAACATACACCTGATCAGATTATCATCAACGCATCACAGCCAGTGTCAATATAGTCTCAACTAATCGATCAGTCAGTTAAGGATCATAACAACTGCATACTTAACTAGTTGGTCAATATTGACATTAAGCATCAACTAGGTAGATTAAAGATTAATATGCCACCAACTTACTTTAAAGTATTTCACTTGCTTGTGTTTATATACAACTATTTCAAATAGTATTTTATATATCCTTATGTAATTATATTGATTTGGGTTGGTTATTTTCTGTGATGGCATGCAGTTGATTAAGTCTAATAAAACAGAACAAGACAAATTAAAAGGATAAAAGAAGAAAACCTATGCATAGATAAGGTTCAAATTTCTGGGGATGGTTGCATAGGTCAAACTGTCAAGGGGGTATCAGACTTATATTCAATCCTTGGGTTCAAGRTTGCATATATCTTGCTTGTTTGCCCACATCAAAAATCCCTGCCAAATTGATTTACTTCCATAATCTATTCTTGTGATCTATTGTTCTCCTGAACTTTCCAGATTTGTTTTAGATATCAATGAAGGTCTGGAGGCACCATTGATGAAGAGGGATTCCTACTGCAATAATCATAAACTTCTCCCATGGAACTTTCTAATCATTTTGGACATCAGGTTCCAATGACGTAAGTTCCGTTTAGGGAATCAGTACTGACTTTTCTCCATTTCTAACACTTTCCACCATTTAGTGAAATCGGATTGGGTGTGTCGGAATAAGAAAGATGGTGGGCTTGGGGTAAGAAGAATAAGACCTTTTAACAAGGCTCTTCTGGGGAAGTGGATCTGGAGGTTTAGAGAGGAAAGAAACTCTTTATGGAGGAAGGTGGTGGCTTGCAAGTATGGGGTGAATGAATTTGAGTGGGATTTAAAGGAAGTCAAAGCCTCCTACGGAGTTTGTGTGGAAGGGAATCATGAGATTCAATTGGCTTTTCTGAACTTTGCTTCATTCAAGGTGGAAGATGGAAGGAACACTAGATTTTGGGAGAACGACTGGTCAGGTATTGGTAGGTTGTGTGACTTAGGTTCAAATTTGTGTTATGTATTGGATTGTATCATCTGACATGTATCATATCGGTGGGTCACCAACACACTTATTTAAAAGAGTTTTTGAAAAACATTTTTACATGTTAAATAACCTTATTACCCCCCCCCCTAAAATTTTGAAGCAAAAAACTAAAAAAAAAACATAAGCATGAGGTTCAAAATCCCGATACATCCCTCCCAGCATATCAGGGTGTATCGAAAGTTTGAACCTTGGTATAGGCTCAACAAGCGAAWTATGTTTATTGCCAATTACTATAGTGTGATCCAAGGAAGAGAGGTCTGGTGCCCAAAGTTCAGGCACCCTTTTTTTTATTAGGAAATTGAGGAGTGTGCAGGCCTATTAACAAAGCTTCAGTCAATGGAAATCCAAGTGGAAAGAAGGGATGTGGGGCGGTCAAAAGAGAGCAGGATTTGTGTCTTTTCAGTAAATTCTTTCTATAATGCTTTGGCAAGGAACCGGGTGGAGAAATCTGCTGTCATAAGGATTTGGGGGAGATCCTATCAGTGTTTTAAAAGTGCAAGGTGCAAAAAAGGAGCAGGGGTCAATTTGCGCCTAAGGCGCAAGGCAAGGTGCTAAGCAAAGCGCAAAAAAAAAAAAAAGCTAAAAAATTCAAAAAATGCCAAAAAATGCAAAAAATGCAAAAAAAAAATAAAAAAGTATTAAACATAATATTAATAAAAATATAAACTTAAATTTTAAAATTAATGTTTTAAAAAACCTATTATCTAAAATTAAAATACATAAATATAACATGTAAAGCATATTCAAATGAGAATTTAAAAATAAAATCAAATATATAAAACATTTTCAAGCATATAAAACCAACAATCTCTTTTTTTCTCAATTGCATTACTTCAAGTAGCTAATGTGATGTAAAACATATTACATTCCTGATTCTACGAGCCGCCTTTGTGCCATGCCCCTCAAGGCAAGCCCAAACAAGTCCATGTTAGGTCTTAAATTCTTAGTTCTCACACAAAAAATATTTATTTTATAGTTTTAATTGCTTCTTAAGAAGATATTTTATTAGGATGAATGAATGAACATTACCAAATAGGGGGGTTCTCGAAGCTTTGATGTGAGAACTAAGAATTTAAGACCTAATGTGGACTTGTTTGGGCTTGCCTCGAGGGGCATGGCACAGGGATCCGGGGGTGGAGCCCCTGGCCCAGCCGCTAAACACAAAAAAAAAAGCAAAAAGGCATCAAATTTTCAAAAGGCACATGCCTGGGCTGAGGCGCAAGGCGCACCAGGCGTGTGCCTTTTGAAAGGGCTGCACCTAGGACCTGGGTGAGGTGTCTACCCTAAATGCACCTCGCCTTTGCACCTAGGTGCCCTTTTAAATAACTGGATCCTATACTCCTAGAGTGGGAATTTTTGTGTGGTTGTTGACCTCAAGATCATATTAAAGGAAGAGGAATTCAGTTGGCATTCTTACTCAAGATCATATTAAAGGAAGAAAAATTCAATTGGCATGGAGATGATACCTTTGCCTGGCAAAAGAGAAAAGTGCAATGCACTTGTTTGTTGATTGTTGTTTATCAAAGTATGTTTGGGGGTATTACTTCAGCCTTTTCAGCCTTGATTTTGGAGACCAAGGTAACTTCAAAAAATTTTTGGTAGATGGCTGTGCTGAGGGGAAGTAGAAAGGTGAAGATAGTTTGGAGTTGCATCCCTTTCGCTATTTGTGGGAGATTTAGGAAGGAAAAGAAAAATGGAATTTTCAATGATTTTCGGACAAAACACAGGGATCAAGTTGTCTTCTTATGTGGAAAGAGGTTTAGGGATTGGGTCTTGCTTCTCCCAGAATGATAATCACAAATGAAGATTTTGATTGTAATTTTTGGATTGTTTTAGATCTAGATCTTGGGAGATGAGAGTCTTGTACTTCTCTTTTTTGTTTTGGGATGATCCCTCATCACCAACTTTGGATGTAATATTTTCTCTGTTTAATAATGTTTTCTTTTTTATTTATTACCAAAAAAAGAATGAAAAGGAATGGCCCTACATTCATTCTTTTGACCAATACAGAACCCTCCAATCCCCATGTCCTGCTTGCCCATTTCTCCCCATGGTCTGCACATGCAAATCTTCCAACTAAGAAAGTATATATATTATATAGAAGTGTCTAAATCTGTTGAAGAAGTTGGAAAAGGGTGAAGATCTCAGCTAAGTCTAGGGATGTATGGTGAGTGCCTTGCTCAGTGCCTCAGTGGGCAAGGCTGTATGTAACTCTTTCAGTCTTCTTTAATGAATTACTTTGCCTTTTCTCTCAAAAAAAAAATCTAGGGATGTATGGTGGAAAGAATGCTCAAATGGAAAGTATACTATAAAACCCTGTTATTCAGTTTTGTGCAGTGGGGTGTGGGGTAACCCAGTATCCCCTACAGTGGAAGCTTTTGCTTGGCTGGTGGGTATGGATGCGTGTTGACAGTGGATCACTTGAAGACATGGGGGTTCAGCATGGCCAGCATGTGTGTCATGTATAAAGAAGATGAGGAATCAATCAGCCATCTCTTCCTTTCATGTAAAATTTCAGGGTTCTTGTGGAATCTCTTCACAGCACTCTTTGGGGTTAGGAATTACCAGCCAAGGACACCTGATGAAACCTTTTCTTCATGGCCAAGAATCAGTGGAGGAAAGAAGGCTAGAATAATTTGAAGTTGTCTTCCATTTGCCATCTGCTGGAACATATGGAAAGAAAGGAATAGAAGAATATTTGAAGGCAAGGAACGGAAGCTGGACAAACTAGTGGCGGCTGTAGGCAAATCTGTTGCAGATTGGATTTTGACATTGCCTGAGTTTTCTCAGCTCAAGAGAGAAGATTTAGGAGAAAGTTTATAGGAGGTGGTGAGGTTTCCAAGTTGTGAGATGGAGATTTTAAAATGAGTGGATTTTGTTTTGTTTTCTGCTGTTAGGTGTTACCTTAAACACCTAACAGTGAAATTTTCTTTTTACTAATCAAAAAAAAAATATACATATACATATACATACATAACTCCGCCAGTGTGAGCTTGTCTTACACTGCCAGTCCCAAGCCCGGATAAAGGTAGAGATAACAAAGCAAGTGCACTGGAAAAGAACAGGAACTAGGTCGATCTATTCTATGAAGAATATATATATATATAAACCATGACTAATGATCATCCAATATAATGAATATAAAAAGAAAAAGGAAAAAAGAACAGTCCATTCCCACCCACTTACACCTCCCTGCTTCAGCCCAACAAACTCCCCCAAACAATTTAACCCAACTACTCGAAAACAAACCACCCATGCCCCATTCCAGACCCCAGTACTATCAGCATTATAGCATCTATCCTCTCCTTGAACTCTAATGGAAAAACTCTATCACTTGTCTCTACCAACAATTTGAGCAACCACCTTTTTATTCTCCTTCAGAGTTTTCTTAGTTTTCTTCACCTTGCTAATAGGACTTAACCCGAATAAACCCCCTCCTAACCTTGCAAAGACTTTTGAGACCTGAACTACTTAATTCTGCTTCTCATTCCTGCAACATTTCCCTGCCTTAACATTCAATATAAGAGTTTTCTGGTCTTTTAGACATATATCCTCTGTTCTCTCCATCCAACATTATACTCCTAAAGTGAAGCATCTCTGTTGCATTGGTGCACCTCTTTCTTCAATTAAAATGTGGGATAATTACATGTTGCAGGTTACAAATGATTTTCCCCCAATTTGATTTGCAGCTCATCACTGAACTTCTTTCTGCATCATGTTTATTTTCCTGAGAGAGATGGAGGTGTTTACAAAAGCATCATTAGAACTCTTTATCTGATGCAGCTCCCAAAGCTGTGATTGAGGAAATGGAATAGAGAAAATAGATGGGAGAGAAGAGAATTAGAATGTTATTAACTCATATACAATGCTTAGCAGCCCTATTTCTACTTAAGCAAAGTTGAAAATATGCATGCATTATTTTGATGGAAGATATTTGGCTACTAACTTTGGATTTGTTTAGACAGAACTCCTTTGAAGATACCTGGAGGAACTGGTACTCAGTGGCTTCAAGCTCAGTGCATAAGGTTAAAACAAGGTTGATTTGGGTACATCCATTTGAAGGTTTTCTGAAACTAAATTTTTATGGTAGTAGTCAAGGCAACCCAGGTCCTTCTGGAATTGGAGGGACCATAAGAGATGAGGAAAAGAATTTAGTAGCACTCTATTCAAGACCAGTGGGGAATGGAGACTCGTTGGAAGCTGAACTGTACAGTCTTACAAGGTGTTCAGATAGCAAAAGAGATGAATTTGGAGAACCTGGTGATAGAAGGGAACTTCAAGGTGGTGATGGGCTGGCTAAATAATCCGGATCCACTGATATGGTGCTATAGAGATGAAATGAAGAAATTCAAATGGCTAACACAACATATGAATCTGGCTATACAATGGGTGGGGAGGGAAGCTAATACTTTGGCTGATTCTTTAGTTAAGCAAGGGGTAATAAGGGATCAGTTATTTTGGGGCACACTTGAATTTCTTGCTGTTTTTTTCTTTAAGAGTGAGGCTGCACCTTGTGCCTCCCTTTGGGATGCTTGTAACAGTTGCTTATCCTTTTTGATATCAATGAAATTTTAATGAATTTTTACTTAGTAAAAAAATATGCATGCATTATTTTGTGGAAAGAGTTTAACAAACTGCATTTCAAAAAGGTCCATAGACAGGAAATGAGTGGGAGACAGTTTCAAGAAGAAGACTTGACTGACTAAAAGGTTTAAGTCTTGTCTTTAAAGGTCTTCAAAACTCTCAATCCAGGACTAATACTTTAAGCTTGAAAGTATTTAAGTTGCTCAGAAGACTAACACCAATCATCAAAAGTTGAAGGAGAAAACTCTTGACTCTCCCAAATTTGAAAGATTTTCATTTGTTGCAAATTTACAATCCATTACCAGATAATAGAAAGTTAGAAGAGAAACCTGGGTTTAACACATTAAAGAGAAACCTGGGTTACCAAAAAACATAATAAAGAGAAATAGTGAATAACCATAATATATAATTTAAAGTTTTGATAGTCTAAGACATTCCAAAATAATTGAATCAACCTTCTAGTCTTACTGGAAAGACCCAACCTGCCCTCCTGCCGGTCAAACCCTGAATGTTGGTTTGCATTTAATAGTTTAACATCTCTTCTATAACCAGAAACAGTATGGCTAATTGCTTTCTTACACTTTAATGAATTAAATCATGCATATTACCCGGTTATGCATATCAAGAAACATATCTAGATAAATATCATATAATAGATAGAAAGAAGAAAAAAAGGATCATTTTGACTATAAGAAACCTGCTTCTGGAAAAACATCTGCCATGTTAATATATGATCAAAATTGGTAGATAACTACAACAACAATGCTTCATAATGATTTACATAATGTAAAAAAAAATCTTGGTTAAAGGCCTTTGTTGCATAAGAATGATAGGTCCCCTTACCTCACGACGATATTCTCTAAGATTAACAAAGGAATGGGAGATATTAATGCAGTAGGAAAGAGTTCCCTGAACATTATCACTCTTCATAATTGCTTCTTCAAGTTTATCCAATCTTCGGCACTCAATTGCTATTCCCATAGCTTGCTGAAATTTTCCATCCATGATGCACCTGTGTGAAACATAGGTAAGATATCCACCCAGAAAATTAGAAAAATGCTAGCACCATGGGCCTTAACAGCCCACAGGTTGACACAAAACATAAACAGGGTATCTATGTAAATACACATGTTACAAGGTGTTTTGTTTTGTCGCTTTGCAATTAAAATGCCTGCAGTATTGTCATCACAGAATGATACATGAAAGAAAATGAAAAACAGTGGACATACTTATCAAGCATCCTCTCCACAATGGCCTCCAGTCTGGAATCAACCTTTGCTGCTTCTTCGCTTGACTCTGCTGCTTTAGACTTGAGACTGGCATATTCATCTATAGCTTTAGCTGGAAGAGAAAAACAAAAGCCCGAGATCAATGTTTACAAAACCCAATAACTTCTGTAGAAAAGCATGCAGACTAAATGTATTAAAACATTTACCAAGAAGAGTGTGAACATAATCAGAATCCTCTGAAACATCAAATAGAGGTCCAGCCCCTAGGGCATATGACAGAGAGTCATTAAGTTCACCCAGGTAGTAGAAAACCTGTTCCCACAACCAATATAATTGATGTAAGAAATAAATGCTAGATTATCAAAAATTCATAGAATTTGAAGCAATAATAACTAATAATCAATACAAAATGGTGCCTAAGGCCCGTATCTTCACTTTTTACTCTTTAGACTGCAAAATTCCTACCAAATCAATAACACCAATGCTAGAAAGAACAAAACATTGATTTTTTGTGGATACAAGTATAACCAGCATGTGATGTACATAAAGAGAAAAATGTCATTAAATTAGCACAAATTTTGAATTATAACATTGTATGCCTATAGGTCTAGAGGTTAAACATTGTTACTTGAACTTGAGTAACATTATACAGGAAAAATGCCAATCATCATGTATACATAGTTTTCAAGAAGCCAATGCAAAGAAAGCTGACCGGGGGGGGGGGGCCTTCTCACCTAGTCATCTAGGCATCACCAAGTTGATGAGTTTTTTAAAATAAAAATATAAATCATAAGGCAGTTCCCTAGGCTTCATTCATAGTAATCAGCAGTAAACTATAACTAATAATTACCATGATCCTCATGAAATAAGTATAAATCTCATAATAAAACATAGAAAAACAACATGCTTATAAGAAGAAAAAATGAAAGAAAAGAAACATAAAAAATACAGGGGACGAACCCTTATTTTTTTGTCCTAGGAAGAATAAGGTTATCTTAGAAGAATAAGGCCATTTCCCTTCAATCTCTCCTTTAGGCAACTAAGTGAGACCCAGAAAAGTTGGCTTGAAAGGCCTTTTACAGAAGAGGAAGTCAGTGCAGCAATTAAGAAGCTTGAAGGTGATAAATCACCTGGGCCAGATGGTTTTACCAATCTGTTCTATCTGAAGTGCTGGGACTTTGTGAAAGAAGATGTGATGAAGGTGTTCCAGGAGTTTCATGCAAATGCGTCCCTACAAAGAAGTCTAAATGCCACATTTATCTCCCTTATTCCAAAAATTGAGGGGGTTGTGAATATTAAGGAGTTTAGGCCTATTAGCTTACTTCACAGTTTCTATAAAATCTTGGCGAAAGTCTTGGTAGAAAGAATGAAAGGGGTGATAGGTAATGTTATTTCAAATAATCAGAGTGCATTTATTCCAGGCAAACAGATGGTAGACTCAATTTTAGTTGCTAATAGTTAATTGACTCAAGGAGAAGACAGGGTATTCCGGGGGTTGTTTGTAAGCTTGACATTGAGAAGGCTTATGACAATGTCAATTGGAATTGTTTGGATAGGGTGTTGGACTGCATTAATTTTGGACAGAAATGGAGAAACTGGGTTAGTGTTTGTACTAAGACCTCTAAATTTTCAAGCCTAATTAATGGGCAGCCCACGGGTTTCTTTGGTAGTTCTAGGTGGCTGAGACAAGGAGATCCTCTGTCACCCTTGTTGTTCATCTGTGTGATGGAAATCCTCACTCTTTTTAGTAAGAAGGCTGCAGAATCGGGATTATGGAATGGGTTTGCTATCTCTCCAAGTAAAGAGACAGTTAATATTCTTCAGTTTGCTGATGATACCCTCTGCTTTGTGGACACATCTCTGCCTCAGTTGGAAACAGTTCTTGGAATTCTGAATTGGTTTGAAGTGGTTACGGGTCTCAAAGTCAATCTGAACAAAAGTAAGATCATCCCAGTGGGTCAAGTTGTAAATTTGGAAGATTGTGCACAGATAATGGCCTGCCATATGGAGCTCCTTCCGGTTAAGTATTTGGGGTTGCCTCTTGGGGCAAAATGTTCCTCTTCTTCAATCTGGAGTCCAATCATTGAGAGAATGGAGAAGAGGTTGGCTCTTTGGAAGGCTAAATATTTATGTTTTGGTGGTAGGGTTACATTGATTAAGAGCTCCCTGTCCAATCTCCCAACACACTTTCTTTCTCTCTTTCCAATTCCAAATAAAATTGCAAAGAGGTTGGAACAGCTTCAAAGGAACTTCTTATGGAGGGGATGGGAGGATGCGAAGAAAATTCACATTGTTAAGTGGGAGAAAGTGTGTAAGCCTAAGGAGAAGGGTGCTTTGGGAGTTAGGAAAGTAAAAGATTTCAATGCTGCTCTACTTAGCAAATGGATATGGAGATTTGCTTATGAGAGAAATGCTTGGTGGAGGTGCCTCATTGCGACTAAGTATGGTGTGGATTGGGGAAATTGGAAAACTCTCGATCCCCTTTCATTTGGGGGCAGTTCTCTCTGGGCTGGTATTTCTAAGATCAGTACTCTTTTCATAAACAGGGTCAAGTTTAAAGTTGGAAAAGGGGATAGAATCAAGTTTTGGAAGGATTCCTGGTGTGAGGAAGGCCCCTTGGCTTATGCTTTTCCCTGGCTGTTCCAAATTGCAGTGAATCAAGATTCTTCAGTTGCTGATAACATTAGTACCGTTGGGGGCTCCTTCTCTTGGACTCCCCTATGTAGGAGGAATTTGCTAGACTGGGAAGTGGAGGAGTATGTAGGTCTGTTGGGGCATATTCAAAATCAAAGAATTGATACGAGTATGGAAGATGAATGGACTTGGAAGTGGAATGCAGATGGTAGATTCAAAGTTAAATCCCTTTTCCTTAAGATGTGCAGCTCAGGTCAGGAGAACTTCCCGGATGGGCAGATTTGGAACCCCACTTGTCCCTCCAAGGTTAACTTCCTGGTTTGGACAATGGTTTTGAATAAATGTCTAACTAGGGTCAACTTGGAGAGAAGGGGTATGCAGATTCCTGATCCCTCCTGTKTCTTATGCGGCATGGGTGCTGAATCTATAGATCATTTGTGCATTCACTGTCCGATCTCTTCAATCCGGGGACATTTCTTCAAGAAACTAGAGGTGTGTTGAGCTATGCCTAAGTCTGTGAAGGAGCTGTTTATGGGTTGGAGATTGGAGGGTCTTAGCATGAAAGGCARGCTTGTTTGGAATACTATTCCGCAGGCTGTTCTTTGGTCCATTTGGATGGAAAGAAACAATAGAATTTTCTGTAATCAATCTAAAAGTCCAGATGAGATTGTGCAGAAAGTGGTGGGGAAGATTTGCTCCTGGGTGTCAGTGAATGAGGAGTTTAAAAGTCAGAATGTTTCTCTCCTTCTTTGTACTAAATCATGGATGTTCTTGTAATATGTTTTGGGCTCAGGAAGGCCTAGTTGGCCTGAGTCTTGTTGTATTTGGCTTTCTCATTGAATAAAATTACTTTACCTTTTTCCAAAAAAAAAGGTTATCTTAGAAGAAGGAAATAAAAATAAATACACAAGTATTGGAGCCTAGGGGTGAACCTGGGTCAGGCTTAGCATGGGAGCACCTATGCTAAGGGTTTTAGTCTGGGCCTAGGCCTGCTCCAGCCCAGACCCCAGTTCTGGGCCTGGGCTGGGCCAGGCTTAGTTCTGGGCCTATGATTACATGTATGACTTAGATGTGCATGGCTTTAGATTTCAGATTTTGAAAAGTTTAGATTTAAATACATGTATTTAGATTTTTAAACACAATTTAAATTTAAAAGAGTTAAAAAGATGAAAAGAAATTTTAATGTCTTGGTGATTTAGATTTTGAAATCTTTATCATTAATTTTTAAATGTCTTACTCAAGTGATTTTTGGACAACCACCATGTACAACCAAGGCAAGTGGGCCTTATCAGGTTACAATGTTTAGCTCAAGAGTCATTCTGGTGTTTTTCAGGTTCTTGTTAGGTACAACCTAACCAGATTTTATTTGAAGAACTACCCTCCTGAAACAAAGATGGAGATGAGAAGAGAAGAGAGAAGCAGGAAGAAGATAGGGATTTGAGATTTGATTTTTTTTATTTTGATCAATAACAAAACTTTTATTAATCAAACAGAATAATTAATTACAAAGAAGTGGAGATAAACTTTCTTAACTCCCCCAGCATAGAGCCCCCAAAGTGATAAAAACTAGAATTAACTGAGCCCAGAATATAGATTCCCTAATCACCCATTGCTTGGCTAACCCATCAGCAAACGAGTTAGTAGATCTCTTCACCCAGCTATACTTTATTTCCATGTCCTTAACCAACCACCTGAATTTTTTCCTTTCATTGTTGTAGTTCTAAAACCCAGCCTTGTCTTCTTTCAGCCACCCTACTACCACCTCCGAATCCCCTTTGGACACCCTCCCCTTACAATTGCCCACCCATATATAGATATTATTACATAGAATCAATTCGGTTATGCTGTGGGATCTGTGCTCACTAACTCCAGCTGACATGGCCTCCTTCGATAAACATGTCAGGTTGCAGCCTTCTCACATGAGCTCTCAACTCTGATATCATTTGGGCCTGGCTTCAAGGGCTGGATCCAGTTGGGCCTAACAATCCCCTCCTGGTTGAGATGGACCTTGGCCTCAAGGTCCAGCTGTGGGTAGTCTTCCCGGAGCTTCAAGTATGGTTCCCATGTGGCATCTTCTGCAGAAAGATTGTTCCAGATCACTAGTGCTTCTAGTATCACCCTACCATTCATTCTAGACCATCGAAAATCAATTATTTGTTTGGGCTCAGTCACCAGGTAGCCATCTTCAGTGAAGTCTAGAAGGGAGGACCCTTGAACTGGAATACTGGACGAATCTTTGAGACAGGTGGCAACTCCAGTTTGTAAGCAACAGCCCCAATCCTTTCAATTATCTAAAAGGGCCCAAAATATCTGGGTGCTAGCTTGCTCCAAGCACGCCGAGCAACAGAAACTTGTTTGTATGGATGTAGTTTGAGAAATACCCAGTCTCCCACCTGATATTCCACATCCTTGTGCTTCYGGTCATAGGCCCTTTTAATTAGTTGTTGGACTCGGAACAAATTGGTTTTGAGCACCTTGAGGATAGCATCCCTCATCAATAACTGTTCTTCTAAGGTAGCCACAGAGGTTGATCCTCACTCATAAGGAATAATATGTGGTGGGTTCCTTCCACTACTCAACACATGGTAACCACTTCTTCTAGGGAGATTCCCCACAAAACACCATAAGTAAGGCATCTGTTTACTACTTCAAATACTTCAGTTTGCCTGTCAGACTGC